ATGAGAGCCTGGCGGCCCATCTGCTCCCACAGGTAGCAGGTTGGGCGGAGGGGAGAAAGCCTCTGCCCCCACTGCTTTGTGACCAGGAGACGCCCACGGCTCCTGTTGCCTCTTCTGCCTCCTCGGCAGGTCCCGCGGGCAGGCTCAATACCAGCACCCGCGGGGACAGCCTGTTAGATCCCGACGGGAAAAAGAAGAGGGCTTCAGGGTGGGGTGCACCGTCCTCCCGGAGTTGACGGGCGGTGGGAGGAAGTGTCCCGGCGAAGGAGATGTCTTTCTCCACCCAGGACGCGAGGGCGAATCCCGCCTCCCTCTCAAATGTGTTGAGATATACTAATAAAAATGATTGCATATATCCCAGGCTAAGAGTCTTGGTCTCCACAATTCCACACTTCTTCATAATGTTAACTGTGTAGATTCCCCACTTGCCGCCCCAGGTATAATTCCAGTAAAGGAAGCAACTAGTGGGCACGCGCATGTGAGGGTGATAAACCGTTTGCAGCCTGAATCAGCACATTTGGCGCGTTCACACCGGAGTACTTTTCCCACAATAGTTCATCAGAACTCAGATATATTTGCGTTCACACCAAAAAGCCCCCTGAACTAAATTAGTTAATCAGAACCATTTTTACCCCCTTTTCAGTCCCTGCTATAGAGCAGGGACTTTCGTGGGAGAAAAAGGTTCCTATTTCTGATTGGCTGGGTGGAATGCAAACCACTTCCCTTAAAACTCCAAAAAAGTTTTGTGAAGCCGCCATTTTATTATCCTCGCATTAGCATTATTAGCATTAGCCCAGTGCAGAAACGCAGAGAGACTAACTTATGGCGACAAAAAAGAAACATGGGAGCGGTGAAGATGAGGAGGTGTCGGCGTTCTGGCGATTTACTCGGAAGCCAGTCCCCAACTACGGGGACTTCCGGCCGGGGACTTCGGGTGGCAGTACACGCCGTGAAGTTGGTTGCGGCCTGCCAGTAAACCCAAAGCAGAAGAAGAAGAAGAAGTGACGTCAGCGGCTTCATATGCGTAATCTTCCCTCAGGGAACTTATTCCGGTGTGAACGCGATCTGCTCTTTAGTTCCATGGGGGTACTAAGTACGGAAAAGTACTTGGTGTGAAAGCGCCTATTGATGTGTTTGGGTCAACATACTAGTGACGCATCAATGCCAAAAAAAACTAATTTCCCCTGATAACGCTAACATTACATCAGGAGGAGAGCTTGAGCTTAGCTACGAGAAAACAGAGCTAACAGCTAACGCTAACCGGGGTACTTTATCATGGGTTTAATGGGCAAAGGAAAATGACTGCAAAGTTACCATGATGTGTTCAAATGTGATCAATACACAGGGAATTATTACCTTGTTTACTTGCTAACAAATCATGTATGCAAAAACTATTAAAAGGAGTGTATACTGAAGTACTCTGAATGTATTGTTTAACATTTAAAAAAACCCTAACCCTTTGGACCGTGGTATGAACTAACACATCTCTTGTATTGTGATCTTCCTACCCTGTTGTTGTCAATCCATTTAAATAACACTTCTGACTTCTTCTGTTGTATACATTCTTATATTTATTTCAAGACACATTTGAGAAGCTGGTAACGGCTGCTCGCTGCGGTCCTGATTAACTGGCTGCTCTGAACACAGTGGGTGTAAACTGGAGGAGAGGAAATAAGAGGAAGTTAAAAAATGGTGCACAAGGAGCTGATTGATGATGGGTGAAACCTCACCAGCTCCACCGTGTTCCTCCTGTTGGTTTCTCTCAGGGTCTGGTCCACGAAGCTCTCCCAGCGACCTCTGCAGTCTTCTGGCAGCTCTGCGAGACACACGGATATTATATTTCAATCACTTTGGAGTTAAAGGTCCCCATTATACTGTTTTTCACCAATATATCACAGGTCTCAGATATATACAGAGCCTGTCTCTGATTGGCTGAAACACCAAACAGATCATTGCAGCATTACCCATAATCCCCTCTGTTTCAGCCCTGTTTCCAAAGTGCTGATTCTCTGTTACTTTAGATGAAAATAAGGAGCCCCTCCCCACGCCCCTCTGAGAGACATTTGGTTACAAAGAACTCAATGGTGCTCTAGGAGGAGATTCAGGTGATAAGGGGGGGGGGAGGGGTTACCTTGGGTTGCTGATTGGCTAATGG